TTTATACATTCTTCGAAACATTTGGGATAATGTAAGTACACAAGTCAGCAAAATGTGTAACTGTTCTAGTGGTTTTTGGATATTTTAATAAAAAAATCTTACATATTGTGCCTTTAAATGATGTTGATGACTGTATTCCTTATGATGGTCTTTGTTAATTGTACAAAAGTAAAAAAATGTGTTTAAAAATACATTTAAAAAAGAATCATAATTGGGGCTGCAGGGTTTTAGGAAAACCGAATTGCAATTTTTCTGTTATTTTCTATTATTTTGATAAAAAATTGCAGGGAGGCCTTTAGTAATACATATTCATATTTTGTTATTACCTGTAATATTTTACTTTTACTTTTATTAATCTATTAGTAGTAAGCACAATTGTTTACCTCACAAAACACTTAGTTGTTAGCACAAACCTTGTTGCAAATGAACCCATATTTAATAAAAAATGATCTTTTCATTACTTTTGTTTTGTTTGTTTGTTTGTTTATTTCATTTATTTGTACAGGGACAACGCACAACAACAGTGTTGTTTAATAAAAAATGATCTTTTCATTACTTTTGTTTTGTGTTTGTTTGTTTATTTCATTTATTTGTACAGGTACAACGCACAACAACAGTGTTGTGCCAGAGTTAGCTATAAAGCTCATTTGCATCTGCAGTCCCTGGGCAGGATGTTGTTAAAAAATTTACAATATTAAGTCACAAACAATACAATACATACAACACGTACAATATCACACCATACTACATGGCAGACATTTGATCTGCCACGATTTGTTTCCCATTGCCTGTGTGAGCTTTGCTGAGTTCCTCTGTAGATGACCCGAGTTTGTCTTGTGTGTTTGTTTCTCCTACAGTATTGTTTAGCGTCTCTATAAAAAGAGTTTGCGCAAGTTATCGTCTCAGAAAAGACAAAGGCCTTTGGCCAGAGAATAAACAAAAGGGTTTTTTGCATCTAATTTTAGAAGGTGACTCCTCCAAAACAATTTGGATTTCCCCTTTTCCTTCGATGTTTCGTTTACACAAATCTGAAATAGATTTAGCTTGTTTTAACCTCAGTGAGGGGTTTGCTGAGCAACTAGATGACTAAGAAATTATTTTAGAATGTATTCCACATAGACAGCTCAGTTTATGATGAGCCGCAGATCAGCGCATGATTAGACTTGCCGTGTTTCCATTTAGGCTCATTAAGATGGTATGTGTGCTGAGTCTGACAGAGCGTCCTTGAGGAGCGCCAATCAATAATCAACCTTTGGATTCATGCCATTATATTTCCCATTGATCAACATATGAGTAGTATCATCATTCTTTATCATATAGCTCATTCCTCCTGTGCTATAGAGCACAACAGTGACTGTCCACTTTTTCAGTAGCCTTGGTTCCAGAAATATTTTTTATCCTTTTCATCATAGGAAAGTTCAAGAAACACTACAAACATTCATTTAACACCAAATCTCCAGAAACACTCCAATATCTCCAGCAACACTCATGGCATGCGTAAGTTTGGGAACCCCTTGCAGAATCAGTGAAAATGTGAATCATTTTAACAAAATAAGAGAGATCATACAAAATGCATGTTATTTTTTATTTAGTACTGTCCTGAGTAAGATATTTTACATAAAAGATGTTTACATTTAGTCCACAAGAAAAAAATAGCTGAAAAACTGATCATCCTTGAGATGGTTCTACACCTTCATTTGAGTCCAGCTGTGTTTGATTATACTGATTGGACTTGATTAGGAAAGCCACACACCTGTCTATATAAGACCTTACAGCTCACAGTGCATGTCAGAGCAAATGAGAATCATGAGGTCAAAGGAATTGCCTGAAGAGCTCAGAGACAGAATTGTGGCAAGGCACAGATCTGGTCAAGGTTACAAAAAAATTTCTGCTGCACTTAAGGTTCCTAAGAGCACGGTGGCCTCCATAATCCTTAAATGGAAGACGTTTGGGACGGCCAGAACCCTTCCTAGAGCTGGCCGTCTGGCCAAACTGAGCTATCGGGGGAGAAGAGCCTTGGTGAGAGAGGTAAAGAAGAACCCAAAGATCACTGTGGCTGAGCTCCAGAGATGCAGTCGGGAGATGGGAGAAAGTTGTAGAAAGTCAACCATCACTGCAGCCCTCCACCAGTCGGGGCTTTATGGCAGAGTGGCCCGACGGAAGCCTCTCCTCAGTGCAAGACACATGAAAGCCCGCATGGAGTTTGCTAAAAAACACCTGAAGGACTCCGAGATGGTGAGAAATAAGATTCTCTGGTCTGATGAGACCAAGATAGAACTTTTTGGCCTTAATTCTAAGCGGTATGTGTGGAGAAAACCAGGCACCTGTCCAATACAGTCCCAACAGTGAAGCATGGTGGTGGCAGCATCATGCTGTGGGGGTGTTTTTCAGCTGCAGGGACAGGACGACTGGTTGCAATCGAGGGAAAGATGAATGTGGCCAAGTACAGGGATATCCTGGACTAAAACCTTCTCCAGAGTGCTCAGGACCTCAGACTGGGCTGAAGGTTTACCTTCCAACAAGACAATGACCCTAAGCACACAGCTAAAATAACGAAGGAGTGGCTTCACAACAACTCTGTTACTGTTCTTGAATGGCCCAGCCAGAGCCCTGACTTAAACCCAATTGAGCATCTCTGGAGAGACCTAAAAATGGCTGTCCACCAACGTTTGCCATCCAACCTGACAGAACTGGAGAGGATTTGCAAGGAGGAATGGCAGAGGATCCCCAAGTCCAGGTGTGAAAAACTTGTTGCATCTTTCCCAAAAAGATTCATGGCTGTATTAGATCAAAAGGGTGCTTCTACTAAGTACTGAGCAAAGGGTCTGAATACTTAGGACTATGTGATATTTCAGTTTTTCTTTTTTAATAAATCTGCAAAAATGTCAACAATTCTGTGTTTTTCTGTCAATATGGGGTGCTGTGTGTACATTAATGAGGAAAAAAAATTAACTTAAATGATTTTAGCAAATGGCTGCAATATAACAAAGAGTGAAAAATTTAAGGGGGTCTGAATACTTTCCGTACCCACTGTATACAGCACATGCATTATATTCCAAGTCTTCTGCAGCCATACAATATCTTTTTATGACAAAAAGACCAAATCTAAGTAGTAATTCAGTGAAAAGCTTGATAATCATGGTCATTGTAAAAGTGCTTTTTAGTTATTAATTTCACCTTTTCAAGTGTTGTGTTGCGAACAGTGGCATGCGAACGTTTGGGAACCCCTTGCAGAATCTGTGAAAATGTGAATCATTTTAACAAAATAAGAGAGATCATACAAAATGCATGTTATTTTTTATTTAGTACTGTCCTGAGTAAGATATTTTACATAAAAGATGTTTACATTTAGTCCACAAGAAAAAAAAAAAGCTGTAATTATTAAAATAACCCCATTCAAAAGTTTGGGAACCATCTTTTATGTAAAATATCTTACTCAGGACAGTAAATAAAACGCATTTTGTATGATCTCTCTTATTTTGTTAAAATTATTCACATTTTCACAGATTCTGCAAGGGGTTCCCAAACGTTCGCATGCCACTGTTCGCAACACAACACTTGAAAAGGTGAAATTAATAACTAAAAAGCACTTTTACAATGACCATGATTATCAAGCTTTTCACTGAATTACTACTTAGATTTGGTCTTTTTGTCATAAAAAGATATTGTATGGCTCCAGAAGACTTGGAATATAATGCATGTGCTGTATACAGTGGGTACGGAAAGTATTCAGACCCCCTTAAATTTTTCACTCTTTGTTATATTGCAGCCATTTGCTAAAATCATTTAAGTTAATTTTTTTTCCTCATTAATGTACACACAGCACCCGGGGTCTGAATACTTTCCGTACCCACTGTATATGAATTTGTGGAGCTTGTCATCCCTGTCACTTTCATTGTATGGAAAAGAGCAACAGCATCAGCATCCTTCAGAACATCTCCGTTAGTGTTCCAAGATAGAAGAAAATCATTCAGGTTGGGAACAACATGAGGGCGAGAAAATACTCACAGATTAGTGGAAGTTGTTTCAGACTATTGGAAAGAAATTGATTTTATTGCACTTGATCTATTTCCATCTGTAGATGATATCTTTGCAATATTATGCAATACATAAAGGCTGTATTTCAAAACTTTACTTTTTTTTTCCTATTCATATTCTAAAGTTTGTTTTTTTTTACAGAGGGGTTTGTTCATATGTCTGATTGCCTGATTTTATACATTTTTATTCTTAAAAAAATATGGTGTTGACAGTATTTTCTGTTTTATGGAGAGATAAAAAGACATTCCCTTTGTACAAAACCTTCAAATCTAATATGTCAACAAAATGAAACAATAATTTTGAATCTGGCTTAGAATCTGGAAATGTATGCAAATTTGCACATTTAAATAGATGATGGTTAATTAGCTAATTTAAACATAACATTTCAGAAAACTTGAAATACAAAAAAATGTTTGCACTTAATGTAATCAATCAACTGGAGAAGTACGGTGATATCTATTAGTTACATTTTTACCCTATTCATGGGGTGTCTTGCCTTAAAATGAAAGAGAAAAACAATAATTTTGTTAACAGTTCTTTTTAAAACCCTGCAAAGTACATAAAAGGCTTTACTAATCTGAGACCAGCAGTGACATATGTGCTAAATGTGGTAGTTGTGAGCCAGCTGGGTCACGCAGACCTCCTTCAACTGGTCTGGGCTTTGTTCCAAATCTCATTTAGTCATGTTACAGCCATGAGAGTGCCATAAATTCAAATGAGAAGAGGGCGAGATGCACTAAAGTGATTGCATCTTTCTCCCTCCCCACATCCCTCTTTTGCTCTCATCTTCTTCCTTCGCACTCTCACTCACTCACTCACTCGTAAAACAAACCAATCAGCTAGATGGAATAAAACTGGGATGTATAGTTATACAGAATTCATTTTACGGTAAGGAGTGGCCTTATCAGGTGAATGTTACGTCATGTCCTTTCTTGTTGATGGTACATTGTGCTCTGCTCTGAATGGGTGTGGCCAGAGATGCTTTTGAGGGTGGAGCTTCTCATAGCGCTAAAACTGCCACACCAAAAACCACAAACAAGGATCTACTACGGATGTGTTCGAACAACAACAAAAGCCCATCAGCAATCTGCCAAGTCCAGTTAGACTGCTATTATTTAGAGCAAAGAAAGATTAACCGAGCCGAGGTATTTCCAGAAAATCCGCCTAAAATTGATTTTAGCGAATCCATACCAATTATTGATTAAACTGAAAGTGAAACATGTTATACTGATACAGTAAACAACTTCACAGGAAAGATTGTTTCTGTTGTGTCGTCATTTACTGACCCTCATTCCATTCGTTCCAAACTCATGACTTTTTTTTTTTTTCATGAAACACAAATGGAGAAAATTTGAGGAATGTCTTGGCTGCTTTTTTCCACATATTGAACAAGCTTTTTGACCAAAAATCTCCCCCTTAAAAGTATAATAAAAACTGTCCATGCAAGCTGGTGAACTTTGTATTTAAGATTTACTCACCCCCAGGCAATTCCAGATTTAGATGAGTTTGTTTCTTCACCAGAACAGATTTGGAGAAATTTAGCATCACTTGCTCACAAATGGATCCTCTGCAGTGAATGGGTGCCGTCAGAATGAGAGTCTAAACAGCTCTTTTAAAAAATCACAATAATCTGGTCCATAATTCATAATAATACTCCCTCCAGTGTAAAAGTCCATATTCTGTTGCCCTTTCACATCAAAATACTTGTTTAGAACAGTTTTGGACAGTTTTCACAAATACACAGTCCTTGATCTGTGCATATTTCTCCCCTGATTCAGACGAGACAACTTTTTTAACGGAAAAAAAGCAACATTACGGATGGAGGACTCGCAATTTAGCCAGAAGCAACAGTTAAAATACCTTAATGATGAATTTGTTTCTTAAAACATGCAGCTTTTCACTTCAAAAAGTGTTAATTGATAGACTGTGAGTCGTGTGTATTATTCTGAAGTTTTTATCAGCTGTTTGGACTCTCATACTGACGGCACCCATTCACTGCAGAGGATCCATCGGTTAGCAAGTGATGTAATGCTCAATTCATACAAAATCATATCTCAAATGGGCTGAGAATGAGTAGATTTTCATTTTGGGTTTGATCTAATATGTTCTTTGATAGTTAAATATCAATTGAAATGTACCACATTTTCACAGATTCTGCAAGGGGTTCCCAAACGTTCGCATGCCACTGTTCGCAACACAACACTTGAAAAGGTGAAATTAATAACTAAAAAGCACTTTTACAATGACCATGATTATCAAGCTTTTCACTGAATTACTACTTAGATTTGGTCTTTTTGTCATAAAAAGATATTGTATGGCTCCAGAAGACTTGGAATATAATGCATGTGCTGTATACAGTGGGTACGGAAAGTATTCAGACCCCCTTAAATTTTTCACTCTTTGTTATATTGCAGCCATTTGCTAAAATCATTTAAGTTAATTTTTTTTCCTCATTAATGTACACACAGCACCCCATATTGACAGAAAAACACAGAATTGTTGACATTTTTGCAAATTCAGTGAATGGGTGCCGTCAGAATGAGAGTCTAAACAGCTCTTTTAAAAAATCACAATAATCTGGTCCATAATTCATAATAATACTCCCTCCAGTGTAAAAGTCCATATTCTGTTGCCCTTTCACATCAAAATACTTGTTTAGAACAGTTTTGGACAGTTTTCACAAATACACAGTCCTTGATCTGTGCATATTTCTCCCCTGATTCAGACGAGACAACTTTTTTAACGGAAAAAAAGCAACATTACGGATGGAGGACTCGCAATTTAGCCAGAAGCAACAGTTAAAATACCTTAATGATGAATTTGTTTCTTAAAACATGCAGCTTTTCACTTCAAAAAGTGTTAATTGATAGACTGTGAGTCGTGTGTATTATTCTGAAGTTTTTATCAGCTGTTTGGACTCTCATACTGACGGCACCCATTCACTGCAGAGGATCCATCGGTTAGCAAGTGATGTAATGCTCAATTCATACAAAATCATATCTCAAATGGGCTGAGAATGAGTAGATTTTCATTTTGGGTTTGATCTAATATGTTCTTTGATAGTTAAATATCAATTGAAATGTACATTTTTATTTATTTATTTTTTGAAGAATTTCACATTATCAAAAATAACACGATCTATGTCCAATAACAGCAAACCTTAACTATAAAACTGCACAAGATCCAGTTGCACATGTCTGTGTCTTGCCATTGGGTGGCTTTGGTGGAAATAACACCGAATTGATAAAGTGTTGTTGCTCCCACAATCTTCAGTCATTCAGCTGTGTGTAGACAGTGATGTCTAGTGTCATTTATCAGTCTGAAAGGAATACACACAGGGAACATGGAAAGTCTGTTTGGTTTTTTTGGCCAGAGGTTTGCCCTTGTCGGATGATTCAAAAATAGAAATGTATCAAAGCAGGTTGGTATTGGTGGAAATTATTACACAGCACTGCGGAAGACTTTGATCTCATCTGATAATCTGATTGCAGGTCAATGTGGCTTTCTGCAGTCTGAGATATTTTAGTATAACGACTAGGGCTGTTTTTTATAAAACAGTCATATTAATAGGTAAAACATTATTAATCATGTATCCCAGACCTATACATAACGTAAATTCCATACAAAATGAAAGACTCCATAGTAAAATGTATTGCTGTGGATTCCAGGCCATGACTTGTGAAATCCAATATGGAAAATAATATGGATAACTATGGAAAACAAACAATATAGAGACTTTTGAAGCCACTTTTTTTGTTTTATTTGGTGGTTTTGTGTGTTTTCTGTGACAGGAATGTTTTTAAGCTTTATTTAGAGGTTTATATATGCATATATGTAATTCAAATTAATGTAATTAAACATGCTCATATCAATTAATTAATTCTTTTAAAATTTTGATAGACAGCCCTAAATAAATCAGTATTTATTTATTTGTTTGATAAATAACCATACAGTGGGTAGAGAAAAGAATCACCCCCTTTAAAATAATCACATTTTGTTGCTTTGCAGCCTGAAATGAAGACAGACAGTTTGTTTTATCCAGCTGTATTTACTCAGTGCAACTTATAACATCCAAGTGAAAGATAAAACACCAAAAAAAAAACAGTTGGAAAAAGGATCACCCTCAGATCAGTCGTGACTGTATGTGGCCTTTCTTGAGGAGTGGCTTTTTTCTTGCAACTTGTGTCTGTACACAACTTTATCTCTGAGATCTTTTGACAGTGTCTTGCCACTCATAGTTGATTGTTTGCTTCAATTGCACTACCAAAGACTGAAATGCTCCAGGAAAGCTCTTTTCATGCTGAGCTAATCAAAATGACCACAGCTGATCACAGTTGAAAGTCAAATGGCTTTGTGTGCCATTGAGAAGGTGATTAGCTACACCCGATTGAGTTTGCAAGTCACATTTACGAGGTGTTTCTGTTTTTTTTTTGTTTTTTTTCTTACATGTTGGTGTTATATCTTTCACTTGGATGTTATAAGTTGCACTGAGTAAATACAGCTAGATAAAACAAAAACTGTCCGTCTTCATTTCCGGCTGCAAAGCAATGCAGTCATATGGTCATTATCGTAAAATAACCCCTGCACGTTGTCTCTTGTGTAGTTGATGAAAATGGTCATTTTGAACTTCACTGTTACATTTCTGTTGCATGTTGTTAAAGTAGAAGAGTCAATTTACATTCAAAGCAGGGAAATTCCCAACTACTGCATGAAGCACCTGTGCATTTGTACATGAGTGGAAACCCTTATGTATATATTTGCTGAAGAAGTGTGCATGTGTATCACATAAAATTTTATGGATTGTCAAACAGTAAATTAGCAGGCATGTGTACCAGTGTAAAGTATGAAGTAAAGCTTAAAAAAATTCTACGGAATCACATCAGAGCAGAAAACTACTTCAGTTCTCAGATATTTACAGCTAAACTGCATCTAAATTTGGAGGCACTGTTAATTTCCTGTTTTGCTTGAACAGCAGGGCAGAAAACTGTCAGCACATCCTCACTTCTGAGTGATCTGATGGCGGTCATATTCAGAGGATACAGCAGTGACGTGATAATGCTAATAATGATAATGATAATGCTCAAACTACTATTTCTGTAGTATACAGTATGTTTACTGTGCACAGTATGCAGATTTTCTGTTGGACGACCTAAATTTTTTCAGTGTTCACAACCCTTTATTGGCACATGTTAAACTAACCATGATTACCATTTAATTTCCAGTAAAATGAGGCAAGAAATGTGCATAAATAAACAATGAAATACAGTTCCTCCTATATCTTACAATTTATTTTATGCCACAATTAAACATTTAAAAAACGAATTACCCCCCCCCCACACACACACACACACATGCAAACACAAAAAATCTCATTTACTCACTCTCTTGCTGTTGTATTAAAATTAAATAATGCTGTCATTTTTTTGAGTGAAACAATGTAAAAAAAGAAATACATAAAAGAAAAGAAAAAATCATAGAATTATTGACCTGTCATTGTAAATGTATTGTAATAATGTAAAACTATATATAAAACTTTGTATTAAATAATTATGTTATAACTAGTTCTTTAAATATGCCTACAATATGGATGATATTAATGATATTCAATAACATGCAAAAGTTTGGGGTCATTATTTATTTATTTATTTGTTTGACTTAAGAAATTAATACTTTTATTCACCAAGGACACATTCATTTAATCAAATGTTACAGTTAAGACATTTATAATGTTACAAAACATTTTTATTTCAAATAAATCTATTTATCCAAGAATCCTGAAAATGTGTGGTTTCCACAAAATATTAAGCAAGTTTTCAACATTGATGATAACAATAAATGTTTAAGAAGTTTTATAAAATTCATATTTTTCCTAGCATTTTCAGTGGTGTTCGTAACCCGTTTTTGGCACTCGCTGAACTATAAACATAAGGTCATGTGACAACTATAGCGCACTAACATTTGAAATGTTTCTCATTGCATACTGCAAATTATTGCTCATACGTTTTATTTAAATATATATCATTTAGTGCAGTGTATACTAGATAGTGTGCGGTAAGCAGTGTACTAGTGTCCCAGGCTGCATGGAGTGAGAGGAGTGATGTGAGGGCTTGAGAAAACACAGGATGTGTAGTGGGATCCATTTTCCTCTTCCTGTCGGACAGTGAGGCTGGATGCAGGACCGGGAAAGAGCGGGGGTGTAGCGCTTAGTGGAAACAGTGTCCTTGGTTCCCTGGTTTGGTGGCGGAGGTGGCTCTGTATGTGTGTGTGTGTCAGTGTTGATGGAAGAAAGAGAGCCTGTGGGATCTTGTGTGTCAGCAGGAGCCGCAGAGAGAGAGAGAGAGAGAGAGAGAGCGATATGGGGCGGAAGTAAATTTCTGGCATTGGGCCACAGAACCTCTTTCCATCATCCGGCTGTTTCTCTATGTATTTTTTCTGTCAGTGTCGAAATAACTCTCTACGCTGGACATCTAAACATTTAAAGGTGTACTATTGATTTATTTAAAATTATTTATCTAATTTGTTTGTTTTTTTAAACGACTACTACTTTATTGTTACAGACTAAGAATATATTTGTTATGAAGTGATTTTTTTTTTTTTTCAGTTAAAATTACAATGTTTTTCTGTTGCTTGTGGTTGAAGCAGAAGAGTCGATTTACATTCGAATCAGGGAAATTCCCAACTACTACGCATGAAGCACCTGTGTGTTTGTACACAAGTGGGAATCCTTGTATTTGTATTTGCTGAGGTAGCGTAGTGTGCGTGTGTCACGAAAAATTCATGGATCAACAAACAGTAGATTAGCAGGTGTGTGCGTGCCATTATTACAGTTGCCATAATGGAGTTCATGCAGTGTATCTGTGTGTTTGTTTCCCCCTTAAAGCTCTATCTGATCAGGAAACGGTGTGTGGGAGTAGCACCTGTCTGAAGCCGCTCACACACACACACACACTTACACACACACTTAGACACAAAATGGAACACACACCCACAGAAACACACTTGGAGCCCAATCTTGGTTTTGATCAGTGTTAACTAAGCACAGACTGAAGACTTATTTAACTGTTCTTTTGAATGAGCATTTCATGTTGAGAGTCTTCATTTTTTTGTAGTTCATCATTTCTGTATTATTGAAATTAACAGTAAAATAAGACAAGAACTTACAATTGACTATAATGAAAAATGAGCATAATAAACCAAATAAGAAAATTGTCTATAAGCCTATATAGAATAAAGTCTATAAGCATTCACTACTAAAGAATTTAAAGGGGTCCTATTATGCTCTTTTACAAAGTCTTGATTTTGTTTTGGGGGTGTACTAGAACAGGCTCTCATACTAGGTTGTTGGAAAAAAACAAACATGATTTTTCACATATTTTACATTATTATAACACCTCTCTCCCCAGTCTGGCATGACACTTTATGTTGTTTTTTTTTTTTTCAGTGAAACACTTTTGTTTTATAACCTATACCTACGTATAAATAACTTTGCAGCTACATGTCAACTAGCAGTCATTAGAGTATTAGTAGTGTCTGCTTAATATCTACAAACACTTTATTTTGATGGTCGCTCAGCAGACGTTCTACTGACTATAAGTAACTTTGCAAGTACGGCAACTTATTCTACTAACCCTAACCTTACAGTCTACAAATGCTCTAATGAGAGTTAGTTGACATGTAGTTGCAAAGTTACTTACAGTTAGTAGAATGTCTAAAGTGGACTATCGAAATAAAGTGTAACCAAATTAATAATTTAATTCAGTAATTAATAGTTTAATTCAGCAAAGATGCATTACTTTGATCAAATGTGACAGTAAAGACATTTATAATGATACAAAAGATTTCTGTTTTCAATTTTCTGTTCATCAAAGAATCCTGAAAAGGCAAATCAGCATATTAGAATGATTTCTGAAAGGCCACGTGACACTGAAAATTCAGTTTTGCCTCACAGGAATTAATGACATTTTTAAAAAATTTTGTTTTTAAATTATAATAATAATATTATTATTAGAAATATATAATAATAATAATATTTCACAATATTAGTGTTTACTGTATTACTGTTTTTACTGTATTACTATCTATCTGTCTGTCTGTCTAAATTGTTGGTTAATAATACAGTATATAATAATACAAACTTTCTTCCATCGTTGTTATTGTTATGTCTGTAGGCTTGGAAGAAGCGCTGGTTTATCCTGCGTAGCGGGCGCATGAGCGGAGACCCGGATGTACTTGAGTACTACAAGAATGACCATGCCAAAAAGCCCATTCGCATCATTGACCTGCACTGCTGCGAGCAGGTGGACGCCGGCCTCACCTTTAAACGCAAAGAGTTCCAGGACAGCTTTGTGTTCGACATCAAGACGGCCGAGAGAACCTTCTACATGGTGGCAGAAACGGAGGAGGAGATGAACCGCTGGGTGCGCTCCATCTGCCAGCTGTGTGGATTCAACCAGTCAGAGGACAGCCATCACGGTAGGAGAACCACGTCTATGTTTGTGTTCACATTCAGCATTTTTGGGCAGATTCTGTTGAATTTAGCTCAGGAATCTGTGTTCAGCTATATAGGCAACGTTAACGTAGTAACCGAATTCAGTAGATTTACTGTATGCCATTATCTATGGTTTTACAGTAACAGTGCTCTCATCTGGAGCATTGTGCTATTTTTTCTCTGAGATGATGATACGACAGATAGAAAACAATCACAAGTAACCTGATGCCATATCTTATTGCTTTCCTTTTTTCTCTCTCTCTGTCATTTGAGAAAGTTGGGCTGAACCAGCCTTGCCAAATGGATGCAGTGTCTGAAAGGTTTATTGATTTTTTTCCCCCCTTTGTTTTGTTGAAGAAAAGGGAGGGAACGCTGCCCATCATTGCAGGCATAGTGCTAGTGTATATTCTAGAGAATTGACGTAAAGAGGACTTTGTGATTGTGGGATCTGGCAGCTTACATATAGCTTATATTAGTTCAAGTGAACTTTTTACTGTAAAATAAAAGAGAGAACTTTTAAGCTGAAAAAAATTCTATATATTAATATATGTTATGTAATTATTTTATAATTCATACATAATTATAATTATTACAATTGTGTATATATATATATATATATATATATATATATGTTAGTATAATGTTATATAATGTTTCTATATATATAAACGTGCACTTCTCCAGTATTCCTCTGGCGTGTCCACATGATCTTTAGCAAACTGCAAATGGGCAGCAATGTTCTTTTTGGAGAGCAGTGGCTTTCTTCTCGCAACTCTGCCATGCACACCATGGTTGTTCAGTGTTGAGCCCATCATCTCCTGATGATGGGCTCATAAACATTAATATTAGCCAATGTGAGAAAGGCCTTTAGTTGCATAGAGGTTAGCCTGCAGTCCTTTGAAACGTAGTGGACTTTTACACGTCTTGCTTTTAGAGTGATCTTTGTTGGTGGACCACTCCTGGGGAGGGTAACAGTGGTCTTGAATTTCCTCCATTTGTTCACAATCTGTCTGACTGTGGATTGGTGGAGTCCAAACTCTTTAGAGATGGCTTT